TAAAACGTATTATGTGAATACGTTTTACAGTAAAATGTATTCCGAGAATACGTTTTACACTATAAAACGTATTTTAAAAATACATTTTTTAAATAAAAACGTATTTTTAAAATACGTATTTTTGTCCACATGTTTATAAATTTTTTGGTTTTGTCCACTTAATTTTTTTTAGTTTTAAATAAATAAACAAATCTCGGCGATTTTGCTCCATCATCAAGTCCCACACAGCCGCAAGTTCGGTGGGCAATGTACCGCTCTCACATGTCATCCTCCACCACTTGCACCAAAAAGTTCATCACCCAGCGGCGGCAACGCCGACAAGTGGACTGACGAGTTTCAGAACCAGTTAAAGGATTACAGTAGAAAGCCCTTTTTCCTGTAGATCTAAGCTCTTTTTCCCTGTAGATCTATTGTGGTTTATGTGGGAAAAGAGGCGGTTCTAGGAGCTGCCCGGAAGTGCTGAGTCAGCTGCCCAAACTGCCCGAGCTACCTGATCGTACAACACACACTGGAGGGAGGTGTGTCCGAGGCGGTTACGGGGTATGGGCCAATCAGGACCTGCCATGTGTCCTCACCACATGGGGTTTGATTCATTTGAGATTTTCCCAAAGGCTCGACTAGTTCTTGGCGACTTGCTGTTGTAGGTCAAGTTTCGACCAGGCTATCTGAGGGCTCTGGCTCGACCTACTCTTCTCGTACTTGGAAATTCCCTTTAAGATGTTTTCCATTTCAGAGGCTCTTGTTCCTATGACGTTCGACCACGACCACCCCATTCGGATCTCACTCGACCCGGTGATTTACTCAATTTATTCGACCAGTCTGCTCGACCGATTTACTTCTTTGGGTATAGTATCCCATATCAAGATGAAAGGGGTATAAGTATAACAATTGTCCATCATTTCGAAAAAGAATCAAGAGCTTGAAAAGCATGTGCCCAATATTCGAGAGAGTCGTCCCAAAATGGTTCGCTCTATCTGACACGGCTCCATCACCACCGTTTCTTTTTTGTGTGCAACGTGACAGGAACAACCATTCTGCTTTCCGGATCCTGGCCACTGATTTTCGCTCAAACACATTTAAGAAGTTCACCATCAAATCAAAGCAGTAACATTATGTACGCCAATGATGTCACGCCTATAGTCTCCATTATGTATCATGCTTCTAACAATCTTATACTTCTACAATAGAGCAAGAAAGAAAAAGTACATAGAGACTATCATCAGCAACTTCAAGTACTGAAGAATCTTTATGTCAGTCTGTGTGAGTGTTTTCTCTATTCAACTTCAAGACTACCATCATGAAATTTACTGGAAGGCTCAGATCAAATCTAGGCCAACGGACGGGTGGCGGGTTTCGGGCCAGTCACGACCCGACTCGGCCCGACTGATGAAAAAAAATGAAAAAAAAAAGGAAATTCATGCGGACAGCGGACCCTTCCCAACGGGTTTGACCCTGCTCGGCCCGTCGGGTCAAAAAAATAAATGTAAACGACCCGGAATCGGCCCTATCAAATAGCGGGCTCGGGTCCGGGCCAGTTGACCGCGGGCTGGGTTCATGTTGGGTCTGGGCCGGTTCGGGTCGAACCGACGGGTCGGGCCGACCGGTGGCTATGTCTACTTTGGTGGCGAGTGATTTGGGAAATAGAGGGGATCAATAATATTATGTCTGTCTTAGTGATATTTATTTTAAGAATGATAATTCATTTCAATCTATTTTATATTCGTTTTGGGCTTCAAAAGTTTAGATTATTATTTTAATAGTCAGTACAACGCCCGTGAACTACACGGGTGTTTTAGGAAAAAAATTAATCGTCCTACAAAAAGTGAAAAAGAATTGAAATTCTTTTTTATGAAGTATTATTTATTTTATTTAATATGTATTCATTTTTTGTCAAAATTAAAAATAATAATTAATTTAATCACAGTTAATCTAATGCCCGTGAACAACACGGGTGCTTGAAAATTAAATATTTTTTTCAAAATAAAGAAGTGAAAAAATTTATATTATAATAATAGACTCATAAACAATTAAAAATAAAACTACGAATTTAAAAGAAGAATTTAATTATTTAAAATAATACCATATTTTCCACTCGGTTTTTTCATGTTTTATTCCCTCATCTAATATTTTTTAAAATATCTATAACATTATATTATTCAAATAATTTAAAATATAATGTGTATGAGATTCAACTTTACAAAATATAATAATTATTATTCTTATTCTAATTATAATGTTTATTTAGTTTTTTTCTAAGAACATTATAATGTTCACTCTCTTTGTAGTTTTTATTTAAGTTGAGACATAAAGCTTAGAATATTTTTTTTTATATTTATTTGATGTTCATAGTTAGTTTACATTTTTTTTTCTAAATAAAATAACTATTTTATGATATGTTAATAAATATAAATTTCGATTACTTTATAAGATAATTTATAGTTTTAATTAATATGTTTTAATTTAGTTTTATAAATAAATTTAAATTTTCTTTATAAGGATACATATCAATGTTTTGGATTTTATATATACAATATGGATGTCAATGAAAAAATAATTAATTTGATATATTATGAAAAATAAAAATAAAAAAACTTATAATTTATTTAGTTATTTTTTTAATTTAGTTTGCTATTGTTTTTTGTGGTAAGAAAAAATTACCAGGGTCTGAGGACTTTCGAAGGCCGACGTCGAACGTGAAAAATGGATGCAATCCCAAATGCTTGATTCCCTCTCCCTCTCCCTCTCCCTCTCCCTCTCTCTCTCTCTCTCTCTATCTCTCTCTCTAGAAAAGATCATGTTAAAAGTGAGAAGAGAAATGAGAATGAGGCATTTTATAGCAAACTGCTTGACTGTCTGTCTGTGCAACTGTACTAGAAAGTCGCTAACTGCAGATATTCATCTGTAAATGTCTGACCGCTTATTTTCTGTACGCGTAAAAATTACCGCGTACATAAATGGGGGGCAAGTGATATGGGGAAAAAATATACATTTATTGGGCGACACGTGGCTCGGGAGAATAAAGACACGTGTACTCCGAAGACCGTTATTGTCCAGGGTCCATGCTGAATCCCAACCTCAAGATAGGCCTAAGGACCCGAGGAGTCTCACCTTAGGCCCAAGCGCCTGAGAAATCTCACTTTAGGCCCAATGTCTAAATATAGCCCAACTGGTGGACCATAGTCCACTAAGCCAATGGGCTGGGAAGTCCTCCGTCTGCATAGGGAAGACCTAGGTCATCCTACCTCTATAAAAGGATGGCCTAGGTCAAGGTAAAGGGGATTCTCTTCTCTACGCAATTTACAGCCACCATCTGAAAAACCTAACACCTATTCTAACTTAGGCATCGGAGGGTCTACCCATGGGGACAATCCCGGGGTTCTGTTTTGCAGGCATCGGAGCAAAGGAGACGACTTCAGGAGGACGTCGGAGCATTAATCGTCGCCACGTGTCCTCTGACTAACGTCAGGTAATTCTTGTATCATCAGTTTCCCTTCTTTTTTCTGTCTTCTGGTTATTGTCCTTTCAGTAGGAGGTTCTTTTCTTTGTTTCTTTTGTAGGTTTTGCTAGGTTCATTGTATACACTGGCAGCTCCTCTTTGTGTCGAGTTACTCTGAGTTGTGGAGTTAGCCCAAGGAAGGTAAGATAGGTACTGCATTTGCCGAGTAGTTGTGCCCCTTGTTAGTTTAATTTAGTGTTTGTTTAGGGTATTCCTTCTAGTCTTCTTTTTTTAAGACTGTTTGGCTAGTTGACCATCTTGCTTGTACATTCGATTTGAAAAGAAACAAAATGTCCATGTGGAGTAGTT